ATTCCCAGACCCTCCGGCATTCCCAAAGCCTCCATGGCTCCAGCATTCCCAGACCCTCCGGCATTCCCAGACCCTCCGTGTCCCACGGCCCATCCCGCGGGCAGCCGGGGCCCGGCCGTTCCCTCTCCGGGACGATTCCAGGCGGGAAAGGTCCCGGATCCGGGTCCGGCCCTCACCTTGGTCATGTCCTGGGGGTCGGGCACCACGAACATTCCCGGCGGCGGCTCCTTGTAAATGGACATGATATCCCTGGGAAAGCAGCGGGATCAGCCGGGATCCCGGCCCGCCGGGGCCAGAACCGGGACCGGCACCGGCACCAGGGATTGGAACTCGGATTGGAACGGGATTGGGAACTGGGAACCAGGATTGGATCCGGGGATTGGAACTGGGAACTGGGGTTGGAACCGGGGATTGGAACTGGGATTGGAACCAGGGATTGGAACTGGGATTGGAACCGGGATTGGGAACTGGGAACTGGGATTTGGAATGGAGACTGGAACCAGGATTTGGGAGGCTCGGGCCTGGCTCAGGGGAGCTCCCGGAGTGGAGCCCCAAAAGCAGCCCAGGAATTCCAGAGCACTCCTGGAATTCTTGGGAATCCTGGCAGGAATCCCCCCTGGAATCCTCAGGAATCCCCCCTGGAATTTCACCACCTCCAGCACCAGGAATTCCAATAAAAATGAAAATCCAGTGGAATTCCCGCTGTGAATTCCCAGGGGAATTCCACAGGGACCCCAGGCAGAAATTCCAGGATTCCCGGGCAGGGTTGGGAGGAACCCGGGATAGAGCAAAGTGTCCCTGCCAAGGTCCCCCCCAACCCAAACCTGTCCCGGGACACCGGGAGGGACCAGGACCTGTCCCGGGTCACTGGGACCTGTCGTGGGTCTGTCCCGGGTCACCGGGAATGACCAGGAGCTGTCCCCGTGTCTGTCCCAGGACACCGGGAGGGACCGGGACCTGTCCCCGTGTCTATCCCGGGACACCGGCAGGCCCCGCCGCTGTCCCCAGGCCCGTGCCCGGTGCCGGGCCCGTTACCGGCGGCGGGGCCGAGGCGAACGCCGGGCCGCGCTCCGTGCCGGTTCCGCTGCCGGCCCCGGTCCCGGTCCCAGTCCCGGTCCCGGTCCCAATCCCGGTGCCCCGCCGGTGCTGGTGCCGGTTCCGGTATCAGTCCCGGTCCCGGTACCAGTCTCGGTGCCCCGCCGGTCCCTGTCCCGGTGCCGGTCCCTGTCCCTGTCCCGGTGCCGGTGCCGGTGCCGGTCCCTGTCCCCATCCCTGTCCCCATCCCGGTCCCGGTCCCGGTCCCTGTCCCTGTCCGTGTCCCGGTCCCTGTCCCGGTGCCGGTCCCTGTCCCGGTCCCTGTCCCGGTCCCTGTCCCTGTCCCGGTCCCTGTCCCTGTCCCGGTCCCCGTCCCGGTCCCTGTCCCCGTCCCTGTCCCGGTCCCCGTCCCGGTCCCTGTCCCTGTCCCTGTCCCTGTCCCGGTCCCCATTCCTGTCCCTGTCCCCGTCCCTGTCCCCATCCCGGTCCCGGTCCCTGTCCCTGTCCCTGTCCCTGTCCCGGTCCCTGTCCCTATCCCCATCCCTGTCCCAGTCCCGGTGCCGGTCCCTGTCCCTGTCCCATCCCTGTCCCTGTCCCTGTCCCCATCCCCAGCCCTGTCCCGGTCCCCGTCCCTGTCCCTGTCCCTGTCCCGGTCCCCGTCCCGGTCCCGGTCCCGGTCCCTGTCCCTGTCCCGGTCCCGGTCCCGGTCCCTGTCCCTGTCCCGGTCCCTGTCCCGGTCCCTGTCCCTGTCCCTGTCCCGGTCCCTGTCCCGGTCCCTGTCCCGGTCCCTGTCCCTGTCCCGGTCCCTGTCCCGGTCCCGGTCCCGGTCCCTGTCCCTGTCCCTGTCCCCCGGTCCCTGTCCCTGTCCCGGTCCCCCGGTCCCTGTCCCGGTCCCGGTCCCCGAGCCGCTCACCGCTTGATCCTCAGCAGGCAGGCCGCGCTGGGCCGCTCGCTGTCCCAGTCGCCGCTGACCGTGGGGTCCCAGAACGCCGAGTGCGAGAGCAGCGCGGCCCCCGCCGCCGCCATCGGGGCAGCGCCGCCGCCGCCGCCGCCCGGTGCCGGGGCAGCGGCGCCGAAACCCGCGGCCGCCCACAGCTCGGCGGGGATGAACACGCCGGGGCTGCCCGCGGCACCGGCGGAGCCGCCGCCGCCCGCCGGCAGCAGCGCGGCCG